AGGTCGCGACTGCGGTTTAAATGCCCCCCTTTCTGTCCCATGAGATGGCACGGAATGCTGGGATAATGCTCCGAAATGGTTTTGATTTTTTTTTTTTGAACATAGTTATTATGTACATTCAGATACAACGAACACAAAAACAAGCTAAATAACTGGGCCTTCCTACCCGGTTTGGTGGAGCCAATGCGGTGGTCTCTGTAACCGGTTAATGAAGTGCCTACTGGTGGTTATTCCACTCAGTGAAAGTGTGTCATTTATCTTCCTACGTGTTAACCAGGTACACCATTTAGATGAGACTAGTGAAGTATTATGCATTTTTATGTCTAAAATCCAAAGTATTTATGGGACAGTTTGTTTGAAGAGTCTGACCCAGACTTTGAGCGAGTCAGGAGCAGGGAGGGAGCTCTCGGTTTGTTGCTATTCTCCTTGGGCTGTTTTCCCTGCTCGAACCAGCCCAGCTACTCCACCAGCCCAGCTACCTGGCCACCAGCCGAGCTCCTGGCCACGGAAAAGCAAGTTTTTTTTTTTGAGGGTAGCATACAATGGGACGTTAAAGTAGCTTTTAAAAAATTACAACTTTCTCAAATGAATGTCATACTAGATATTAATCCACTTATGTTCCCCCACTTGTAAAGACACCTGCATATTTGTAACTTGAGTACTTTGAATTTGCATTTTTTTTAAACTTTGATTTTTTTTTTTCCTTTTGGCAGTGACAGTATTTTTAAATTCACTGACGTCCAAATTCTATGTGGCACTTACAGGGACATGTTCTTTGATATCAGGACTAATATTTGTAAGTAGTTTCCATTTCCTTCATGCTTTTGTATTTATCTAAAGAGCACAACTCTTTATACAGTTACAATAATTATAAATACGTGTAGATCAGCATCCTCAAAATGTGTTCAGTATCTTGAAAAAGCCACCGCATCTCCTCTCCACTTTTAGAGATTGACAGTATGCAGTTGTGTATAAAAGACTTACATTATGTAGGGGATTGAGAGGTGAATTGCATTTAAATGCTTGCAGGGCCCATCTTGGTAACAAAAATGAGTGAAATGGGCACAGTGTAAGAACTGAATTCTTACTTTGTGGGCTGGGTAGACTGGACAATGCATGCTACTTCTAGGAAGGGCTAAAGCTGATTGTTGCCATGTAGACTTGTGGACCATTATTACCAGATTTTCCAGCTTTTCAAATGATCCCAAGAGAACCTGGTACACAAGTTTTTATATAAAATCTCACAATATGTTAATGTTGGCAGCATTGGACAAACTAAAAATTTATCTGTGTCTTGAATTCAGCCTATAGGCTGCCAGTCATCTTCTCTGGAGTGTTTAAGAGCAGGATTTGAATCAGGTTAACCCGCACTTTGGTGGTGTGACTTAGGGCACGTTAATTAACTTTTATATCCCCCAGTTTTCTCAGGTGTAAACTGGGGGGTAATAACAGTATCTACTTCATAGGATTATGATGACTAAATGAGGTAAGGTGTGTAAAAGTTAGTAACAAACTGGTAGCTCATACAGAGTGAACATTTAATGAATTTGGGCTATTGTTATTCTGAGAAGTCCTACAATAAAGAAGTCAATTTAACTTTAATTCAGCTTTTTCTTGTCTTATTTCATCCAGCTTGCATTTTTAATTCAAAATTTTTTTTCAAGTTTATACTTTTTGTTACCATCCCTAGTAATGGAAGAAACTTTGGAAAAGTATTGCTACACATACAAATCTTAGGAAGTATTAGGGTGTGCATGGCCAAGGAATTTTTCTGTACTTTTTTCTCATCTCTAGGTGGTGCTCTCCAGCTATAGTAGAAATAACAGCATTTGTATTGGAGTGTTTCGGTTTTGTCTTTTTTTTAGAAGGACTAACACTTGACCATTTTGTTAAAGTGAAATGCCAGACAAGAAAAGGATTTTCCTCTTGACTTAAAAGTTATTGAGGAATTCAGGATGAAAACTATGGGTTAATATACCAGTAAGCCTCAAAATGTATTGATTTATAAAGTCCATTCATAATTAAGCATATTTAGTCAATACAGTATGAGTCAAAATAAAGAAAATAAATGATCTTTAAACAGCTGATGTAATAGAAAAAGCATTGGTTTTAGAACTAGAAGATGTGGTTTTAAGTCTTGACTCTGCCACTTACTGGCTTATAACTGGGCAAATCACATAAATTCTGAGCCTTTTTAAAAAAAATAATTTTACTGATTTTTTACAGAGAGGCAGGGAGGGGGATAGAGAGTTAGAAATATTGATGAGAGAGAAACATTGATCAGCTGCCTCCTGCACACCTCCTACTGTGGATGTGCCCACAACCAAGGTACATGCCCTTGACTGGAATTGAACCTGGAACCTTTCAGTCTGCAGGCCAATGCTCCCTCCACTGAGCCAGACTGGTTAGGGCTAAATTCTGAGTCTTAATCTCCTGATTTATAAGGGGAAATTTATATATATGCTATATATTATCTTTTAAATTTTATTTATTTATTGATTTTTAGAGAGAGGAAAAGAGAAAGAAACACCGATTTGTTGTTCCACTTATTTATGCATTCATTGGTTGATTCTTGCATGTGCCCTGACTAAGGATTGAACCCACAACTTGGCACATGCTCTAACCAATTGAGCTACCCAGCAGGGATACATACGATCTTTTTAAACCAAAGTTTTTTTTGGTTTTGTTTTGTTACTCCTCACCTGAGGATATTACTCATTGATTTTTAGAGATAGTGGAAGGAAGAGGGAGAGACAGAGAAACATCACTGTGAGAGAGACACAGCGATTGGTTGCCTCCTGCATGTCCCAACAAGGGCTGGGGCGAGTTTGCGACTGAGGTACAATGCCCTTGACTGTAATTGAACCAGGAACTGTTCAGTCCGCAGACTGATGCTCTATCCACTGAGCCAAACTGGCTAGGGCTAAACCAAAGTTTTAAAATTAGGAAACATCTTAAAGGTTAAATTTTGTCATCGCTCTTGCAAAATTGATGAGTTTTCATTAGCAAAGGTTATGTTTATAATTTCTTTCACCACCTGGACTTACCAAACATGTGTGTATACACACACACACTTACATATATACATACACTGTGGTATGTTTCGGAGGTAGTCTGTGTAATGGTTAGAACCTCTGAAGTCAGGTAAACCTGAGTAAGAATCCTAGCTCTACCAATTATGGATGGTGTGAACCAGAGCTAGTTATTTAAAGCTGGAATAGATGTTCTTTCTGAAATCAGTTGTTGTGAGAATTAATGCATGTAAAGAACTTGGCACTATGCTTGGTAAGTATTAGCAATTATTATTGCTCATTTGTGTTAAGAAGTTGACTCAAAAGGTAAATAAAAACAACTAACATGTTAACTAATTAAAAAACTGCCAACACTTCATATAGTGAAGGACAGACATTTTGTCATTGTTGCTTTTATGATTAATGTCCCTGACTGATGTAATATAAATCTTGTCTTTTCTGTCACATGAATAACTTCTGCTTTGTGATTTCTTATGGTTGTTTTAAAGAAGTTTTATCCCATTTCTTAGTAAAAGAAGCCAATCTGGGGCTATATTTGGTGGTGATTAACTGCCTGCTAACTCAGTAAAAGAAAGCAGGAAAAGCCATTATAGACTGAGCATAAGACATTAATGGCATGATAGAAAAAATTCTGCCCCTTGATTTTCTAGCCCTGTCCTATAAATGTTACAGCATTTGGTCCATGAAGTAATTGGGCTGCAGTGTACAAAATGACATCATACTTTTGGCATCTTTTTAACATGTTTGTTCTGTTGTTTACTGAAGCAAAAAATACCATTCTTAAAGGTTTAAGAACTGATACCTCTCTCTGTCTCACAGATCATAGCAAAATAGTTTTTAAAGAGATTGTAGTCTCTTAAGTAGTGTGGATATGTTTGTTTATTCTTTAAGTAAAGTAATACCAGCACATTTGTCTGCTACAGGGTAGAGAATAGTCTATCACAGCCGTGGGCAAACTACGGCCCGCAGGCCGGATCCGGCCCGTTTGAAATGAATAAAACTAAAAAAAAAAAAAGACCGTACCCTTTTATGTAATGATGTTTACTTTGAATTTATATTAGTTCACACAAACACTCCATCCATGCTTTTGTTCCGGCCCTCCGGTCCAGTTTAAGAACCCATTGTGGCCCTCGAGTCAAAAAGTTTGCCCACCCCTGGTCTATCAGTTGACTTTGTAAGGGAAGGTGGTCCACAGACAAGAGAAGGAAGGTATTAAAATTATTTTACAGTCAGAATATAGAAAACTAGTTACTAGTCATTTGAACAGTTTTAATCTATAAAGTCCCTGATTGATTGATGATTCATTTAACAAATATTTATAAATAGCCTTTTATCTCTTAGGCACTCTTTTAGATGTTGGGGATACCATGGTAAGCAGATAAACACAGCTTCTGTCCTCACGAAATGTGGTCTACAGGTGATTATGGACATTGATTCATTTGACATTTTTAAAATTTAGTACCTAGAGGGTTTCACACAGTGTTTCTGAGCTTGTAGCAATGAACAAAACGGGAAAAAATCCTTGTGGAGCTTACATTATATTAGAGCAATATATAATAAAAGATAAATAAGTAAAACAAATAGTATGTTCTTACTATTAGTGGTAAGTGCTAAAGGAGAAAATGAAGCAGAAAAAGGCATATGAAGTGTCAGAGGAGAAGGCTGACATTTTATACAGGGAAGTTGGGGAAGGCCTCACTGAAATAGTGATTCTTTAGTAAGGAAGGAAATGAGGAAGCTAGCTGTGCTGATTGTGTTACTCCTCCCTAAAGGGGTAGTGTTCTTTGGGTGCTTGAAAGATAGCAACAAAATCAGTTGTTTAATTATTACAAGTGAAACTATTACTATCAAAGGATAATAACAAGATCCAGTGGGAGTACAGCTTTCTGTTTGTGAATCAGGAAAAGTTCCCCAATGATGTGTCATTTAAGCTGTAACCCAAAAGAGTCAGGCAAAGGGAATTGAGAAAGTTGGAGTGTTCAAATGTGAAACTTTCTGCTAATTCAGCACAAAGAGCTTCTTTTGATTCCTCTTTTTGTAATAGTGATAAACCATGGAAACAGAAAGAAGTGAATATCCTGATTTTTAAATGGTCCAAAATTGGAATCAACCTCATCCTTAACCTACATTGATAATACTGTCAAAGACTGGAATAGTACTTTTTTTCTCAAGGGACACTTATAATTCTTATTAACCATATTTAGTAGATAGGACATTGATGTTCTGAGAGGTTAGCAGTTAAGTGACTTGCCCAAAGCACAAAGCTAGTAAGTAGATAGCAAAATTGGGAGTCAAATGGGGGCATTCTAAACCTAGTCTAATCCATCATGCTAGTTGTTTCAAACTTATTTTTTTTTTCAATTATGCTACAGATAGAATAAAATGACAATGTAATATAACATAATCTATAGATTAAACCTTTTTATTGTTTTTAATGCTTTATTTACAGATGTATTTCTTTTCATTTTGCCTAAGCTTGTCTAAATTTCATGACAAAGCTATGAAAGAAGTATTTCATTTTTGCTCGCATATGTTATTGGGTAATCTTATATTTGGCTTATTTTTTTGGAAGGAGAGTACATTTAAAATGCTGAATTAAAGGAACATCTTGAGATAATGTTTTAATTTGAGCTCATATCTGCTTATTAGTTCTGTATTAAGTGAAAGATGTTTTCTGTTTGTCATAGATATTTGAATGGTGGTACTTCCATAAACATGGTACATCTTTTATTGAGCAAGTGTCGGTAAACCATTTGCGACCATTGATGGGAGGAACAGAAAGAAGCATGTCAGAGCCAGCTTCTCTTTCCAGCAGCAGAGAAAGTGAAAACAGCCGACAGAATGTGTCAGGTGATTACTTATCTAATGTTTTCAAAGCTATATAGTTAGTCTTTAGAGCTGTATAGTTAAGGTTGTGTTTAGCTGTGGGAGATAGAAACTCACAACAATAGAGAGAAGTTTGTCTATCCATGTATATATCGACCTAGAGAGTGAGAATCACCAGAGACCCAGACTCCTATTTTGTTAGCCTGCCGTCTCCAAATGCAGTTTGGCCTTGTGGTCTAAGACAGCCACTCTGGCTCCACCTATCATATCCACAGTCCAATCAGCAGGAAGGAGATTAGGCCAGGAGGACAATCCTCATACTTGGTATTGCTTGTTTTACTGGGCTAGCCAGTAACGAATCCAATGACGACTAGTATGATTTGGTGTCGCTGCCTTGACTCGGGCTAAAGTACTAGCAGTTTTACCCACCATTGATTTTATACCATCAGCTCAATTTTGCAGTACTGGGACTAGGGTGAAGTATGTCAGGTGCCTGGGCACAAAATTTAAGTTCTCACTCTCAGGGTTGAGTGCAAGTCAATACAATTCAAAAGGCAAATAATGGCTAGGTAGCTCAGTTGGTTAGAATGTCATCCCCATACATCAAGGTTGTGAGTTCAATCCCCACAGTCAGGGCACATACAAAAGTCAACCAATAAACGCATAAATAAGTTGAATAGCAAATTAATGTTTCTCTCTCTTTCTCCCTTCCTCTCTCTCACTCTCTCAAACAAAAATCAATTACAAAAATAAAAGGGCCCTGGCCGGTGTGGCTCAGTTGACTGAGCATCCTCCCTATGTACCGAGAGGTCGGCAGTTCAATTCCTAGTTCGATTCCTGGTCAAGGCACATGCCTGGGTGGCTGGCTCCTCCCCAGTAGGGGGCATGCTGGAGGCAGCTGATCGATGTTTCTCTCACGTCTATGTTTCTCTCCCTCTCCCTTCCTCTCCCTCTAAAATCGATAAAACATTTAAAAGAAATAAAAGGGAGAAACTTAAAACCAAACAGATAATCACATTATAATATGGTAAGTGCTATAATTGAATTATGAACCAAATGCTGTGAAGACAGAAATAAGGGAATGACTAGATTTAATTGTATGCTCCGTGACAGTAGGGTGATCCATGCCTTACTTATCTTTGTGCTATCAGTGGCTAGCACTGTACTTAGTATACAGTGCCTATACAATAAATGTTGGCGAATTAAGGTTTAACAGCATTTGATTAAATTGTCTCACTTCCTCCCTTTTCTCCTTTGTTTTTTAGAATGCAAGGTATGGAGAAACCCTCTAAACCTTTTCAGAGGAGCAGAATATAGGAGGTAATACATTTTGCTTTCAGTATAATTACAACATTGGTTTTAGAGTAAAAGTATTATGGAAACACTTGTTTTTATAACTATATCATAGCCCTTTTAGTTGGAGATACTGATATATACTAGTAAGATAAAATGATTAGCAGTTTAGTTGGCAGCATCTTGATAGTACTTATTATAATAGTGTTCATAATGCATAATAAGTATACATTTGATCCCCGGTTTATGGCAGAAAGCCTTTTCAAAGAATTTATAAGATTAAGAAAAAATTACAAATGTCAGTATATTCCTGTGCATATGTACTCGATTTCAAAATTTATTTGAGCATTCACTAGAAAATATCAATCTGAATGTGAATATGAATTTCATTTGTGCCACAGTCCAGGGTATAGTACTTTTATATTGTATTTTATATTGCCATTTTCTATGTGCTCTACTGTATCCATTTCTCTCCTGGTTTATACACTAAATGAGAAAACATCTTTTGAAACTTATGACCAAAGATAGTTTACTTTTATTTATTTATTTATTTTTAAAAATATATTTTATTGACTTTTTACAGAGAGCTTGACTGGAATCGAACCTGGGACCCTTGAGTCCGCAGGCCGACGCTCTATCCACTGAGCCAAACCGGTTAGGGCAGTTTACTTTTATTTTGAGAAGGGCTGTGTTTTACCTGGAGATAGACTGGGCATGTTATTTAATTCATTGAACAAGAAACATTATGTGTCTGTTATGTATGGGCACTGTGTAAAATGATGGGGATACTAAATGATTAAGTAATAATCTTTGTGCTTAAGGACTTGATAGTGTAGGACAGTCAGTCCTGGGAAGTGAAAACTAGGCTTTTATGAGAGATGCCACTAGCCTGTATTAAGGGATTCTGCAAGAGACAGATCCTTGAACTTCTCACTGTGTTTATTAAAAAAGGTTTTAGGCTATTCTTTGTTATATTTTACAGTGTCTACTTCATGAAGGTTTTAAAGAGAAGTTTCTTTTCTTAGTATCAAGAACACGTATGCTTCTTTGAATGATTAGTTTATCTTAATATAAAAGTCTAAATTGCAATGATAATAATTGTGTGGTCATATTGTAGCTAACCCTTAGCAAGTGTAGCCTCATTCCAGATTCCATTTTATGGCCCAATCCTAGTTTTTACTTTACTTAGTGTTTTTAATTTACTTCTAGTTTATGTTATTGACTAGAGCAGTGATGGCGAACCTATGACACGCGTGTCAGAGGTGACACGCGAACTCATTTTTTTGGTTGATTTTTCTTTGTTAAATGGCATTTAAATATATAAAATAAATATCAAAAATATAAGTCTTTGTTTTACTATGGTTGCAAATATCAAAAAATTTCTATATGTGACACGGCACCAGAGTTAAGTTAGGGTTTTCAAAATGCTGACACGCCGAGCTCAAAAGGTTCGCCATCACTGACCTAGAGGGTATTATTCTAAGTAAAATAAGTCAGACAGAGAAAGACAAATGCCATATGATTTCACTTATTTGTGGAATCTAAGAAACAAAATAAACAACCAGAATTGAAACAGACTCATAGATACAGAGAACATTTTGATGGTTGCTAGATAGGAGGCAGGTGAGGGATGGGTGAAAAAGATGAAGGGATGAAGAAGTACAAATTGGCAGTTACAGAATAGTCATGGGGATGTAAAGTACAATATAGGGAATACAGTCAATATTGTAATAACTATGTATGGTGTTAGACGGGTACTAGATTAATTGTGGTAATCACTTAGTAAGTTATATAATGTCTAATTACTGGGGTATACACTTGAAACTAATATAATGTATGTCCATATTAGGCTTTTATTATATAGTATATTATACATTATATTTTTAACTGCTTTAAATCATTTTGGGAATAATGTAGATTGTTAATAATTAATTTTTTATGGTTTTAGAATGGTTAGCAAAACTGTTAAGTGAATAAGAATTTCCTTTTTCTCTTTATGATAATTTCTTGCAGAATAGCTAAAAACGTTAAATAACAAGGCAACTCATACTATTAAATAACTTAACATCTTTAGTACTTATATAAATAATATTTACAATGTGCTTTTAAAGTGCTTTTTCTTCAGATTATAAAATGTACGTATATTCATTGTAGGAAATGGGAAGAAAACAAAGAGATGTATGAAAAAGAAAGTAAAGATCACCTCTTTTTACCACTAAGTAATAATTACTATTAGTATTTCCATCCAGTCTCTCTTCTATATGCATGTATAGAATCAAAACTTCAACATCACAATGTGTGAAATTCCCACAGAATTTCTTCAAAAACATGATTTTTAGTACTTGTATTTACCATACCTTCTCTACTGCTTGCCTATCTGGGTCATAGATTTCACTGTTAACATTTACACTAGAGGGATATCTCTCTATATAAATATTTAACCACATATATGATTATTTCCTTAGAGTTGATTTGTAGCACTGGGATTACTGAATCAAGGGGTGTGAACAGTTTTTTCCCTTCCCTTTAATCTTATTTTGATTATGGAAAATTTGAAAAATAAACAAAAGTAGAGAGGATGGTATAATATAATATACTAGTATACCCATCCCCTAGGTAGGTGTAAATATTTTTAAGATTCTTGATAGATATTGCCTAATTGATTTCTAGAACCAGAAATATAAATGCCAATTTACATGATACTAGCAGTATGTGTGAGTCCATATTCCACCTAACAATATATACATATTTGCCAATTTAATAGGTGAAAGTAAAAATTATTTGTTTTAATTTGCTATTTGTTAATGACTAATGAGATTGCACATTTTAAAATGTATTTATTAGCCAATCTGTTAACGTGCTATTGTGAGTCTCGGGGGAATATGAAAGTTTAAATTTCTAATTTAGTAACATCTGAGAAAAGTTCCTCTTTGCTTTTATGCTTTGAAAGCCCTTTACCATCTTGATATCTAGTGAAAATCAACCTGTGTTTTTTTTTTCTTTCTTTGTACTTTTACTTTTAATCATTCTAAATCACTGAAAATGTACTGAAGTATACTTAAAAAGGTATATATCTGAGGCAAATTGTCTTATCCCTTCAAATCCAATTTTGAAACAGTGTTTGTTGAATAATCTAGCCTTTCCCTTTTCATTTTTTATGTTCTGTTCTACTCTAAGTAGTTTGTATAGGTTATCTCTTTTTTATTCATTATAATAAGCTTTTAAAACATCCTGAAATGGAATTTTTAGCAGCATATGTTTGAATTTTAAATAGTGTCTGTTATAGCAAATCAATACTCTCTCATGTTTGATTTACATATTTTCTTTTGTTTTGGTAAAGACTCACTTGGGTGACTGGTAAAGAGCCACTTACATACTATGACATGAATTTGTCAGCTCAGGACCATCAGACCTTTTTCACCTGTGACACAGACTTTTTACGTCCTTCAGACACAGGTATGTGTCATCTCTGTTCATGGGATAAGCAGTGGTCATGAAGATTATTTTTAAAGCTCTTTATAGTTATTTATTATAATATACAAAGTTATTTGGCTTGGAGTTGTTTGCATTATTGATAAGAAAGCCAGATTAAATTGAAACTAATTATGGTTGTAAACTAGGCTGTTACACTACTTTTCCTTCTTATAAAGAATTTATTTTATTAAAATATTGCTTCTACTATTACTTTAAAAAATCTTTCAGATAAACTGCAGCAACTGCTTATGCAGAGAAAAATGTACCCAGTTTGGTCTGGAAAATTAACACCTGCAATTATACATACGAGAAAAGAGTAAGATAAAGTATAAACATTGGGGCATGGCATGTAGAGAAAAATGGGACATAATTTTATTCCAGTTATAAGTTAGAGATGCATTTAAAGTGGTGGAAGATCATAGAAATGTCTGTTTAATTCTCTCTAAGCTCTTCTCTATAGAAAAAATATTGAGACTCTTAAATGTACGGCTAGCTTTCTAATTTGAATGCCCTTTTCCTCCTTATCTATCCTTCTGCTTCTTTCTATCCTTCAGGCTCCAAATTAAAAGTCACATTCTCTAGAAAGTCTTCTCTGGGATCTTCTTTCTTCTCTGCAGTTCTACAGTGCTTAGTTCAAACCTCAATGAAACAATTTTCAACCACAAACAATTATTTGTTAATGTTCTTGTGTTGCTTTAATGTTTGTCCTCCCTACTAGGGTATGAAACTTTGGAAAGCAGGTAATATATTCCATCATCTTTGAATTCCTATCGTCTGGCACAGTGCCTGGGATACTGTAAATATTAATATTTATTATCTGATGAAAGTATGAATGAATGAGTGGTGTTGGTGTCACAGATGTCTTCAGCAATTTCACTAATAATAGTTAACACTTGTAAAGCACTTATTATGCACCAAGCATTGTTCTAAGAAATTTATATAAATGTACTAATCATCTTATGAGGTAGGTACTATTATCAGCCTTATTTTAAAAATAAAAAATCAGTGGTAGCCCTAGCTGGTTTGGCTCAGTGGATCGAGTGTTGGCCTGTGGACTGAAGGGTCTTGGGGTCGATTCCAATCAAGGGCACATGCCTGGTTGCAGGCTTGATCCCCAGTAGGGGTCATGCAAGAGGCAACCAATCAATAATTCTCTCTCATCATTGATGTTTCTATCTCTTTCTCCCTCTCCCTTACTCTCTGAAATCAATTAAAAAAAAAAAAAAAGAACCAGAGGTAAAGGGGAATCAAGTAACATGCCTAAGTCATCTAGCTATCTATAATAATAAAAGCATAATATGCTAATTAGACTGGACGTCCTTCCGGAGGAAGCCGAGGCTGCCATGGAAGCCCGAGTCCTGGGTGCCGGAGGGAAGCCAGTGCCGGCAGCTGGGGAAAGGAAGGCCTACTCTTGCATGAATTTTGTGCATCGAGCCTCTAGTTAAATGATAAAGCTAGGTTTCAAATTCAAGTCTAGCTCTTAACCACTAAACTACTGCCACATTGCCACTATTACTCATCACATCGACAGGCAGAAAAAGATCACCCACCAATAACGAGGGTCTGAAAAATAGCCAATTTTCCAGCATTGAAGTGAGTTCATTGTGATATCTCTGCTGGATTAAATATACTAAGGATGGGTGGTAGCAGGAAACCCTAGGATATTCGGTATTCTTACATTAAAGGGTTTAATTGTAAATAGTTGAAAAAGCAATTGCTTTATGTTTATATGCTTAATGTTTACTTTAATGGCAAAAGTATAGCAACCATGGCTGTCCACTAAAGCTGTCGTCCTAAAACATTTTTGTTCACATACCTCCTAAGAGAATTTTGAAAAACGATGTATCCCTTTTCACTTAAAAAAAGAAAAATCCACTGAAGGGTGTTTTTAGAGAGAGGAAGAATAAGACAGAGACAGGCAGAGAAAGAGAAACATCCATGTCAATCAGTTATCTCCTGTAGGGCATGGGATCCAACCTGAAACCTAGGTATGTGCCCTGACTGGGAATCAAACCTGAAACCTTTAGGTGTATGGGATGATGCTTCAATGAATTGGGCTGCCTGGCCAGGGCTCCCTTCACATATTTTTAAGTTGATATCATAAGGTTAAATAATTGCAAAGAATATGGTTTTTGACGTATTATAAATATAAAAATTTGAAAATGAAACTAGAATATCCTATATTTGAATGTAATTCAAGAATGTAATGACTTGATACATACCATTAGCTGTTGAAAAATACATGAATAAATACCCTTTAACAGTAGTAGATTTTATATAAGTCCTTTTTGTTCTGGAATTTATATCTATCCCAAGCTTCATATGATTTTAATATGATTATTTTGTGCTTGAGAGTCTTTTATCACATATATGAGTTTTCCACAATAAATTTTTAGTATAAATAAAAAAATTAATTTTCTTTGACCATAAGGTTCTAAATGGTATTGTGTACTTTAATTATATTTTTGTCAAATCCTTGGAGCTCCATATTTGGCTCTTTCAACTTTGGAAAATGTCCTCTGTATAATCTAACTGGCTGGCTGAGTTCTCATTGTCAATCCTACTAACCATATCAGACTTATTTTCTGACAAAGTCTGACTTCATTTGTCAATTCAGATAAACATATTAACATGCATCCTATGGTAGCCACTCTCTTCTGAATTCAGATTATAAGATAGAAAGATAGAGTCTCAGAGTCTTGTAGCTTTGCCTAGACCTTATCTCGGCCAAAATAAGATTCCACTGCCTTTATTATTTCTTACTAATGCCCTCTTGGCCTTATTGTGAGGGGACCTTCCTGTAGGAGAATGCATTCTTTGATAGTAAGGGGAGTGGGATGCTGATAAATGGAACTGGTAAACATTATCACTCCCTCCCTACTCTACTATATACTTGAATTCAGTGTATCCAAGGGCCAGAATAATGATGAGCTTCACTGTTAAAAAAAATAAGTTAAAGGTGGAAACCCTATTATAGGTTCCTTGATTAAAAATGGCTACTCCCAAACCTGAACTTTAAATTGTCCCTTTGGCACCTGAAGATTTTTATACTGTAGAGCAATGCACCTTGGGAAGATTCAGGATAGGTGAGAAGTAAGACTTATTTTTACAAAGTAGGAGAAAGGGGAGTGAGAAAGCGGATGTTGGGTAGGAATGGAAAGCCTGCATGATGCATAGACCAATCAGAGGAACATTCTTCAGATAGATTAGTTATAGGAAAGAGTCATTAAGTCATTAAGTCATTAAGGCTTTAGAAACTGGTTCTCTTAAAACCATGCATCTTGTTTTGGTCCTTGCACTTTGGTCGTCATGTACTTCTAGAGGTACACATAATCCCAGCTAAAGACCAAAGTCAAGGACAGACTTTACCTGTGAATGCTAATCCAGAAATGGACTGTTGGTTCCATATTGATCTTTTCAGACAAATGTGTATATATGTGTGATATGATAAATTTCTCTTGAATATTGTCATCAGAAATTACTACATTAGTAGATTTTGTTCTCATCCTGTTGATTTATCTAAAACAGAAGAAACATATCCTCAAGGCCAGCCAATAGTGATTTTGGATAATTCATTTTCATGGTATTTTTTTTCAACATTTAAAAACTAGGAGACAACATTAAAATTCAGATTTACACTTTAGAAATTTGGAAAATATGGCATACTTGGACCTACATTTCTACTTGGCATTAATCAGTTAGACCTGAGCTGTGATTCTTCTTTAGACAGTGCATATGTTTTTAGTTCATTCATTTATGTTTTTTGCCTAGCCTTTGTAGGCATTAATATTTGTGATTCCTGATCTTGAGATAAATGCTAGTGTCTTTTCTGTTTATTAGCATGTTAGACTATTATTTAAATTGAAAATAAATAAATTTGATTGAATTGCTAACTGCTTGTGTTATTTTTAAGCATATTGAGAGCTCTTAAAGTGGACAGGTGAATACTAAATCAGCATTTTGCTTTAAATTATTCCTTAACCTTTTCTTAGAAGGAAATACATATTTTTCTTCCTTTACTTTATTTCCCCTTTGACTTAGAACTGCATTGGTTGTGAAGAATAATATTGAGAGGCTGGATAGTGCAGTTGAAAACAAAAGAATAAGAAAAAATGCTTAAAGCTGGATTTGATGACCTTACTAGAAATAAGACATGCAAATGCAAATGAGATCATTTTCATGTATTAATAAAGACTGATATTATTCAGTGTTGGTAAGGAAGTAGGGAAACAATCACTCTTCCACACTGCCTGAAATAATGTAAATTAATGCAATTTTATTGGGAGAAATTTTGGAGTATAAATTCAGAATCTTTTAAAAGATGCATACATTTTAACCAACCATTCCACTTCTTGGTCGGGTATACAAAGGTAGATATTGAAATGTGTTTTCACAATATTTCTGTTTAGAAAAAAAATTAGAGGCCTGGTGCAAAAAAATTGGATGTAATCTAATTGTCCATCAAAAGAGAATTGGTTAAATAAATTGAGATATATTCTTAATATACTAGAATACCAAACCATTTAAAATGTTGGTAAAGAGCGCCTTCACAGTATATTGAGCTCCATAGAGACAGTGTCAGGGCGGGTACGGGCACTTGGCGACTGTGTGCTCCCTGAGGAAAAGTAATTAAACATGGGCAGTTCCTGGCCAGTGTGGCTCAGTTGGTTGGAGCATCGTCCTGTACACCAAAAGGTAGGGGTTCGATTCCCAGTCAGGACACATAGCCTGGTTGCGGGTTTGATCCCCAGTTGGGGTGCATGTGGGAGGCAGCCAGTTGATGTTTCTCTCTCATCTCTCTCTCTTCCTCTCTCCTTTCTCTCCCCCTCCTTCGCTCTCTCTTTTACTCTCTCTCTCTCCCTCTCTCTAAATCAATTTAAAAAATTTTTTTTGAAAATGGGCAAAGGAGATCTAAGAAGCCAAGAGGCAAAATGTCTTTGTATGCCTTCTTTGTGCAAACCTGCCAGGAAGAGCACAAGGAGGAAGTGCCCAAGTACTTCAGTCAACTTCTTAGAGTTTTCTAAGAAGTGCTCAGAGAGGTGGAAGACCATGTCGGCTGAAGAGAAAGGAAAATTTGAAGACATGGCAAAGGTGGACAAGGCCTATTATGAAAGAGAAATGAAAACTTATATCCTTTCTAAAGGGGAAACAAAAAGGAAATTCAAGGACCCCAATGCACCCAAGAGGCCTCCTTCAGCCTTTTTCTTGTTTGTCCTGAGTATCGCTCCAAAATCAAAGGAGAGCATCCTGGCCTGTTTATTGGTGATGTTGCAAAGAAGCTGGGGATTTTGAAATCACACTGCTGCAGATGACAAGCAGCCTTATGAAAAGAAGGCTGCTAAGCTGAAGGAGAACTACAAGAAGGGTATTACTGCATATCGAGCTAGAGAAGAGCCTGATGAGGCAAAAAAGGGAGTTGTTAAGACTGAAAAAGAAAAAAGCAAGAAAACGAAGATGAAGAGGAGGAGGAGGAAGAAGAAGAGGATGATGCTAAATAAGTTGGTTCTAGCGTAGTTTTCTTTTCTTGTCTTTAAAGCATTTAACCCGCCCCCCATACACAAATCACTCCTTCTGAAGAAAAAAATTGAAATGTAAGGCTGTGTAAGATTTGTGTCCTTTTTTTGTATGGTTAACACACTACCAAATGTGTTTTTAGACAGTCCTGTCCTGGTGATATTCTCAGTAGCCACTAACCTTGCTTGGTACAGTATGGAGGTGTAAATTGCCATGGAAATTTAAAGCAGGTTCTTGTTGGTGCACAGCACAAATTATATATGGGGATGGCAATTTTTTCATCATCAGTTGTCTCTGATGCAGTTTATATGAAATAGTTCTTGTTCTGTTAACTGAATACCATTCTGTAATTGCAAAAAAGTTGCAGCTGTTTTGTTGACATTCTGAATGCTTCTAAATAAATACATTTTTAAATTTAAAAATAAAATATTGGTAAAGATTCACAAAATTTGACTTGTATCATGTAACTTATAGAAGAGAACCCACCATCAAAAATGGCAAATCTAATATTTAATTTTATGTTGTATTTTAATGTTTCAGTAAAATGCTATTTACCTGGTTATTATCAGATGGGTGCTGATGTGCATCAGTTTGTCAAGTTGAGGAAGCATTAGCTGTCAGCTAGCTGGTGACATGTTTGATATTAGAAATGTATTTTTGTTACACAAGTAGAATATACTGTCTTATTTTCTAAGCCAAGACTAATATTTTGTTTCCAAAGGAAAACTCACACATTTTCCACATTATTCTTTCTGGACAGTTGTGGGTTTTATTCCAAAAACAACATTTATAGATTCTCTATTTTTCTTATCAACCTTGAAATAGGCCAGATAGTTTCATGAATCTACTTTATTTGTTTAATTTTTAAGAAACTTTACTTAGTGTGAAATTTTCATTTGGTACTGTAAATGATAGCTGATATTGTTATTTCAGAGAGATTCTAATTCAGGCTTTTGTTGAGTCTTTGTAGAAACTGACATTTTCCTTAAATGTACTATATTCTAAATTAATCCCCCCCCTTTGAATACAAAATGTAAATTCAGACATTCTTCCTAGATTGAATCATTGATTAGACAAAGACTTTATTTTTAACTGTTTTATATATTTCTAGCAGTTCCAAAGAACCTTTTCAAAATGATAAAGAGCTAGAATATTTCATATTGATTATAATATGTCACTCAAACTCTATTTTTATATGCATATAGTATGTAAATATTCATGTATAATGATGTGATTAATTTGATTAAGTACCTTATGTGTTGTTATTAAAATAGACCAGAAAAACAGTATATTTCTTTTTATTATATGTGAAACTTCCAAATTTAATATAAATTTCTCATAAGGTTAATGTGAGCTAGCACCCCAATTTCTTCTTTCTTACATTTAAGAACATGCTATTTAAGTCTTTGTTTACTCTCCTAGCTCATTCTTCATGTGTTTTGCATAAGATTATTTATGTTTACATCTCATCTACTTTTTGAAATATTTTTCCTACAGTTATGCAGAAGGCATGGAGGGAAAGAAATCCTTTATCTCGAATTAAAGCAGCCTACCAAGCTTTAGAATTAAACAATGAGTAAGTTTGAAATATATGAAAATAAATTTGTTTTGAAGGAAACCCAGGCAAATGATTTAATGTTTCCTTTTGTCTGTTTCTTAGATACTTGGAGTCATTAGCAATCAATCCCCTTTCTCTTTTTGCATACTAGAGACAAAATTTGCCATGTTCACCGATATGTATTTTGCTTCCGAAAGTAAACTTATCTGTGCATTGAATAGAAATTATGCTAGCAATGCTTTAAAAATGGAGAGTGCTGATCTAATTGGTGATAATACTTGATATTAAAGAGTACTAAAATACTATGCCACTTGTTTTAATTTTGTTTTTCGTTTAAATCATTCATTTAAAGCATTCATTCAGCCCTGCGAACTTTAGTTACTAATGGGATGGGAAGCATGAGATGGGGATTCAAGATAAGTAAAATGTAGCTCTAACTTAATTTTTTTCATGTTAACAAGCATTTTTTATAGCTCTTTGTATTAACTTTATATTTTGAAAAGACAAAATGTAAAATCAGAAGTCAACTTAATATTTAAATGAGACAGATCAATGTGTATTAATCTAATACTAAAATATGGCCCCAGTTGGGATTAATCAGGGTATACTTCCTGAATAATGTGAAATTAGCATTGTCCCCTGTGTTCCTCCTCCTTCCCTCTCTCCCCAGATATATTATCCTTATTAAGAAGAGCTTCCCAAAGCAGAAGAAAAATGGTAGTATAGGGAATTCCAAAAGCAGTAAATCAACTTTATTGAAACTCTGGAAACTAATCAAAACTTTATAGCAACTTGGAGAATGCTTAATCAATTAAAAAAAACCAGTTGAATTTCTATAAGAGAGCTTTGTAATGTTTTAACTTACACTGGCCCCATCCCCTACTCCCTAGTTCAGTGGCACCCTTGGAAACAACAGTCCAAATCCTGGTAATAGGTTCCTACTTCCAGAAGAAGTAGAATGGACCTAATTCTCAAAGAATTGTGGTTGTTTATTTGAAGGACCAGCCCAAGGGACTTGCCTTTCTTTAGGATAATTTGGAACTCACCCCGTACTGACACAACTACATTGGGGGGAGGGGCATTTGTTAAAACATTTAAAGGCAAATACACTAGTTCCTGCTGCCTGGGGCAAGGGATAAAAGTTGGGGCAAAAAATAGACAAATCAAAGCTTTGGAGGAAAGCTGGGGAATGAGATACTTTGGAAATAGAGATTTTGAAAAGCTACCACATATTCCTGAAAATCTCAAAAGGCTGCACACCTGCCCAAGGTACATGCTTAAGAAGACCCTAAGCTCTCATGTTTGTCTAATTCTCAGCTTCTGTACAAACAGAAAGTGAAGGATAAGGCAGAATTATAAACTGGCTGATTGAATGTTGAAGGTGTGCCCCCAACACACACACACACAAAAACACACACAAAGCCATCTGCAAAGACTTGTTTTTGGTTCCACGTGTTTAAGGCAATCTTTACCAAATTTACTGGCTGCCCACTAAGCTGAAGGAGTACTGCCATCTTAACAATATTGGTCACACATGATAGAGAATACGAACTTTACAAAATAAGTCAGAAAGTCACTAAACAAACAACTACAATAAGCAGTAACAACAAACTTTGGGGAGGAGAAGAAATCTGATTTTTAGAGTTTCCAGATTATAATATTCAAAATTCCCAGTTTTCAAGAACAAATTACAAGACATGCAAAAGAAACAAAATATGCCCCATACACAGAAAAGAAAGGAAATGAATAGAAATTGTCTTTGAGGAAGCCCAGACTTTGTACTTTCTAGACAGAGTCTTTAAATAAACTTTTATTTTTTTAAATGTGTTTTTAATTGATTTTAGAGAGAAACGTAGAAAGAGAGAGAAACACCAATCGATCGCCTTCCACATGCATCCTAACTGGAGATTAAACCACAACTTGTGTATGTGCCCTGACTGACAATCAGACTGGCATCCTTACAGTGCATAGGAGAATGCTCAACTGACTGAGCCACACCAGCCAGGTCTAAATCAACTATTTTAAACATGCTCAAAAAGGTAAAGGAAGCCATGTACACAGAATTAAAGGAAAATAGAAGAATTATGCCTCACCATTAAAAAGTAGGTAGAAAGAGATAGAAATAAGTAAAAGGAACTAAATAGAAATTCTAGAGTTGAAAAATATCACCAAAATAAAAATTTTTCTATATGAATACAGCAACAGATTTGAGCAGGCAGAAAAAAATCAGTAAACTGGATTTAGATCAATTAAGATTACCTAGTCTGAGGAGAAATAAAAATAAAGGGATGAAGAAAATGAACAGAACCTAAGAAACCTTTGGTACACTATTGAGCATACCAATCTATCACTATTCACAGATGACATAATACATGCAGGATATTGTAAAGAATACACACATAAACACACACACACACAAATTATCAGAGCTAATAAATGACATCAACAAAGTTGCAAGAGACAAGATCAACACATAAAAATAAGTTGTATTTCTATATACTAGCAACGAACTATCTGAAAAGGAAAATAAGAAAACAATTCCATTTACAATAGCAGAAGAAATATTAAAATACTTAAGAAGTTTAGCTCAGCTGGTGTGGCTCTGGTTGAGAATGGACCTATAAACCAGGAGGTCATGGTTCCATTCCCAGTCAGGGCACATGTCAGGGTTGCAGCCTCAATCCCCAGTGAGGGGCAGCCGATCAGTGATTCTCATCACTGATGTTTCTATCTCTCTCCCTCTCCCTTCCTCTCTGAAATCAATTTAAAAAAAAAAAATAAGTTTAACCAAGGAGGTAGAAGACTTGTACACTAAAAACTAAAAAGTATTGTTGAAAGAAGTTAAAGAAGACCTAAATAAATGGAAAGACATCCCATGTTCATGGATTGAAGACTTAATATTGTTAAGATGGCAGTACTCCTCCAGTTGATCTACAAATTCAATGTAATTTCAATCAAAATGTCAGTTGCTATTTTTTGCAGAAAGGACAAGCTGATTATAAAATTCACTTAGAATTGCAAGAGATCTCAAATAGCCAAAACAGTCTTGTAAAAGAAGAATAAAGTTAGAGGACTTACTTCCTGATTTCAAAACTTACTATGAAGCTAAAATAATTAATTCATAAGGATAGACAGATTAATTTAATCCAATGTAATGAAGAAGTCTCTGTTGATTAGTGAAATTATTATATGCTTCAAATTAAGGTATTAGTTGAAGGATGCTGAAATGGTATGATTTACATCTTCCAAATGAAAGATCTGTCTTGTCCCCAATGAAAAAAAATTTTTTAAAATATGTTTTAATTGATTTTAGAGAGGAAGGGAGAGGGAGAGAGAGAGAAACATCAATAGATTGATCAATTGGTTGCCTTCTGCATGCCCCTTACTGGGGATCAAGCCCACAACCTGGGCATGTGCCCTGACCTGGAATCAAACCCATGACTTCTTGGTGCATGGGATGATGCTCAACCAAATGAGCCATACCAGCCAGGGCTTGTCCCCAATTTTTTGTTGCTATCTTGCCATCACTTTTGTTCCATGCTCACCTTGTACTTTTATTAATAATTTCTCCCCTATTGTAATGCAAATCATATATGTAACATTAAATTTTCTGGTAGCCACATTTAAAAAGTAAAAAAATATATTCAGTTAACTTGAATAATATATTTTATTTAGCTACATTCAACATATTAATATGTTTTAAAATATATTCAACATTAAAAATAAATTGTTAATGAAGTATTTTATATTCTTTTAAGTCTTCAAAATTCAGTGTGCGTTTTACACTGACCATACACTGACTGGTGTGCATCTCAGTTTGGACTAGACACATTTCAAGTGCTCAGTAACTACATGAGGCCAGTGACCACAATACTGGACAATCTATGCTTAGATAATCAGAACTAGGATGTCTCTAGAAGAGAAATGAACTAGTTATTTCTGGGAATAGAAAGGAAACTTTCTGCTTCTCTTTATTTTTGTCCCAAACAAGTTATTTTATTAGCCAGCTTTTGACTTAAAGGCTATAAAGAGAAATCTGTGTTTTGGTGGGGTGAAGAAAAGGGAAACTTGGAGTCAGCATGGGTGTGACAGGTGAGAGGAGAACTGTAGGAGGAAAGGGTAGGCTGCAGATCAAGGGATGTTTTGTTGCAGTGCCATTGTTGATAAGGCCGAGAGAGGATGGGGCAGCACAAAGAGGAAATATCAGTGTAGTGAAAAAAGTCTAGTCCTGGAATATGTTTCTGAGTCGAATTGGAAAGGTGCCTAATTGGCCTTGTGATATTCTTGTCAAACATCACACTTTCCTATACCTCCATTATCCATTTGATGGATATTACAAAGTACATAGTGACTAAGAGCAGGCATGACCACTAGAGTACATAGTCCCTTGAATAACTGTTAGATAATTCTTTATATGTCTTCTTTTCTCCCCTCTTCCACAAAAGGAAAATACAGGATAACATCAGAATGAATATAGAAGTAAAAGAAAGTAAAGGGAGGGAAAGAAAGATAGAAAAGGAAAAAATGTGCAAATAAGACATTAAGACTATACCAGTATGCCCCTAATAAATTAAAATATTGATGGAAGTTGTTTTTATTCTTCAAGAGATGGAAAATGTAGGGAAAGGCAGGGAAATATAACAAAGAACAAAGGGACATACCCAAGAGATATACTTGCTTTACTGTTTTACTTAAAATTGTCTTGCTTGCTTTCTCCATAGCTGTGCCTCTGCATATATTCTACTGGCTGAGGAAGAAGCAACAACTATTGTTGATGTTGAAAAGTTATTTAAGCAGGCACTCAAGGCAGGAGAAACGATTTATAAGCGGTCGCAGCAGTGTCAGCACCAAAGTCCTCAGCATGAAGCCCAACTGAGTAAGCAAATAAGAACGAATTTTTACCAGTTTTTTTACTTCCTGCAATTGGCTCTTTTATGTTTAAAACACAAAACAACAATAATAAACTTAATACTTAGAGGTAGCTACTTTTCCTAAGTGATAATCTATTCATAATATCTACAAGCCAGAAAGACTAAAGTACATATTGGCTAGAGAATGCTTGTGGAAGGAAACAGATCTGCTCTTGTTATTGAGAGATGTGCTGCTCTAAGACTTAATAGTAATTTATTTCATGTGAGAATTGGGCTGGTCATTGGAGAACACAACTGAGAACCACAAGAGCCTTCTAGTAATGACAAGCAGCTATTACCTTTATCCTTACCTTACCCCAAGCAATCGTAGGGGAACATCAATTGGTTTGCTCTTCAGACTATATGTATCTCTATATAGTGCCAGGGAGTGGCCCCTTTAGCACAAAAACCAGCCATACTTGGCATGGATTCTTTCTGTGGTTGATTTTTCTCTGTTGTGTTTGAGATCTTATGAGCCATAGCAACTGAGGTCCTTTCTTTCTCCTTACAGAGATACTCTCCCAATTATGATTGAGACACTTTTACCAAATATGTTAGAATCTGTAGTACTGCTGCTTCCTGCTTTTTTTGTGTGGCCAGAGAGTTTTAGTTTCATGATTTTGGCAGATAGTGGGCCATAAATTGACATATGTGTACATAATGCATTATCTGCTAGCAGTTAAGTTCTAAATCTTTTATTTGTGGAAATTAAAATTTGGATTACGTTTTCTCTCTAACTAAATATTGATGTATACAGTATGTTTCATTAATGCTTGTTATAAAACACAACTGTGAGAATATATAATTTTGCAGTCTGGAACTAATGAAACTGCATTTATAAAAAAAGTTTAGCCGTTTGTCCTTGTATCATCTCAAATATGGTTGAGATAGTTACAGAACTATTAGTTTGCTCTTTCTAGAAGTAGTTTTATAGTTTATTAGTATCTATTGAGCAAAAGTTTGCACTAGCCATGGGAATTTTGTCTTTAAAATCTTTATTCAGTTAAAACAATAAATAATGTTAAAATAATAGATTGTTTATGCAGAAATGTAAAATAATAGGTTAATGTCACTTCTCCCTATTGTATGTGTTTCTTTTATATTAATATTAACATGCATTTGTCAAGTATACACAGATTACTTTCTATATTCTCAGGTTACCTATTGGTATTGGTAAAAGTAATTCAATATATACATATTATGCTTTTAATATAAAAAACTTCAAACATATACACAAATAGAGCAGTATAATGAACCCACATTTAATGTTCATCACCCAAATACAACAATCATTAATATTTTTCCATTCTGACACATTTAATTTTAATTAAAGCTGCCAGAGTAAGCAAATAAAATTAATGGATATGTTAATGAAATAGAAAATCATAATACAAAAATGATAGCTGTGTCATTTTTTTTAAATAGGGAGAGATACCAATGTACTGGCTTATATTAAAAGAAGATTGGCAATGTGTGCAAGAAAATTAGGAAGAATAAGAGAAGCAGTAAAAATAATGAGAGATGTAAGTGAATTTGATAACTGGACCTTCATATTCTTCAAAAAACTAAAAATGTGGTTTGAGTTGCCAGTTATTTTAATGTAGAATCATTGTTTTTTAATTGATAGTTTTTATGAAAAGATATTATTGCTTAAGGATAGAGTCTCCACAGTTTTGTTAAGAAACAAAAGAATTTTTATTTCAGTGAATCTGATTCAACTCCATTGAGTTCCTTTGCTGTAATTTTAATATTTTTTTCCTTTTACAATACAGTTGATGAAAGAATTTCCTCCTCTTACCATGTGGAACATCCATGAAAATCTCCTAGAATCACTTTTAGAATTACAGGCCTATGCAGATGTTCAGGCAGTCCTAGCAAAATATGATGGTGAGTGATATTTGTTTTAGTTGATCACATGGTTAAAGAATTTTTTAAAATTATGTAATCATAAGTACAATCCTATTCTAGTATTTCTGTGATTTTCTTTTATCATTCTTACCAGTCAATATTTAGAATCCATGGGTGCAAGTTGCTATTAAGAATCTTCTAAGTGATTCAAATTAAAACCACAATGAGAACCATCTCACACCTGTCAGTGAAGATGGGGATGCCCTAGCCGGTTTGGCTCAGTGGATAGAGTATCGGCCTTTGGACTGAAGGGTCCCAGGTTCAATTCCAGCCAAGGGCACTTGCCTGGGTTGCGGGCTCGATCCCCAGTGGGGGGTGTGCAGGAGGCAGCCAATCAATGATTCTCTCTCATCATTGATGTTTCTGTCTCTCTCTCCCTCTTCCTTCCTCTCTGAAATCAATAAAGAAATATATTTTTTAAAAAAATGTGGAGAAAAGGGAACCCTTATGCACTGTTGGTAGGAATGCAGATTGGTGCAGCCACTATGGAAAACAGTATGGAGACTATTCAAAAAATTAAAAATGGAACTGCCTTGCCCGGCTGGTGTAGCTCAGCGGTTGAGTGTGGAGCCAGGAACCAAGAGACCACAGGTTCCATTCTTGGTCAGGGCACATGCCCAGGTTGCAGGCTTCATCCCCTGCAGGGGGCCTACAGGAGGCAGGTGATCGATGATGTTTCTCTCTTATCAGTGTTTCTATCTCTCTATCCCTCTCCTTTTCTCTCTCTCTAAATCAATAAAATATATATTTTTTAAAAATGGAACTGCCTTATGACCCAGCGATTACACTTCTGGATGTATATCCAAAGAAACCAAAACACTAATTTGAAAAAATATATGCATCCCTGTGGTCATTGCTGTGTTATTTACAATAGCCAAGATTTGGAAGCAACTCAAGTGCCGTTTAATAGATGAGTGGATAAAAAAAGCTGTGGTACATATATACAATAGACGATTACTCGACTATAAAAAAGAATGAAATCTTACCATTTGCGACAGTACAGATGGACCTAGAATGTTATGTTTAGAGAAGTCAGTCAGTAAAGACAAATACATTATGATTTCACTTATATATGGAATCTAAAGAACAAAATAAATGAACAAACAAAATTGAAACAGACTCATAGATACAGAAAATAGATCGATGGTTGCTGAGTGAAAAAGGTGAAGGGATTAAGAAGTACTAATTGGCACTACTTCACAAAATAGTCATGGGGATGCAAAGTATAGCATAGGAAATGTCATTTCAATTGTAATAACTATGCATGGTGCCAAATGGGTACTGGAAATATTGGGGGAATACTTTGTAAAGTATATGATTGTCTAACCATTAGGCTATACACCTGAAACTAATACAAAATTTTTTAAAAAGAGTCTTTCAAAGATTTTGGGAATATCATGCTAAGTAAAATAAGTCAGACAGAAAAACTTAAGAACCATATGATTTCACTCATGTGGGATATAAAATTAAAACCATCAAATGAACAAACAAGACAAAAAAAACACACACAAAAAAATCATAGATGCAGACAGTAGTGTGGTGGTTACCAGAGGGAAAAAGGAGTTGGGGGAGGTAGCCAAGGAAAAAGGATGTCAAATATATAGTGATGGAAGGAGATTTGACTTTGGGTGGTAAACACATAGTACAATATACTGGTGATGTGTTATAGAATTGTACACTTTAAACCTATATAATTTTATTAACCAATGTCACTCCAATAAATTTGATAAATAGTTTTTAAAAAAGAATCTTCCTTATCAGGAATTTTGGAAGCAAAGGCCTGTAAGGAGGAACTTTTCTGTCAATATTTGTTTGCTGAGTACCTACTATGAGTGAGGCACTTGGCATACAGTAGTGAACAAAAGGACATGGACTTAGCTCTCGTACGATTTACAATTTAGTGGAACAGACAGACAAATGAATAGTAGTTATATTGAAACATGATGTGTTAGCTGAGATAATTGGAAAAGTATGAGGTGCTGTGCACAAAGAATGGTACCTCATTTGTTTGGGAGGGAAGGCTAACAGAAGTTGCTTAGCAATATGTATGTGTAGGAGTAATTCAGAATAACATTTTACAATGCTTTTTAGTTACAAAGCATAATTTATCTTATTTGATATTTATAATAATCTTGTGATGTGGTAGAACAAGAATTTTTACTATCTCCAGTTAGTAAAAAGAAAACTGGAGTTGAAGAAGGTTAAGTAATTGGCTAAGGTCTCCCAGCCAGGAAGTGGCAAGCCTGAACTTAAAGCCAGGTATTCCATTTCTTTGTACTAGTCTTCTAATAGTAAGAAGTCAATATAATGCCTATTTTTATTATCCTATATAATAAAAGCCTAATATGCAAATCGACCAAACGGTGGAACGACTGGTCGCTATGACGTGCACTGACCACCAGGGGGCAGACACTCAACGCAGGAGCTGCCCTCAGGCCCCAGGCCAGCCAAGACATGTGCCAGAGGGGGTCCCCCAATTGCCCTCACCCTACAGATCGGCCCTGATCGCCAGCCAGGCCAAGGGACCCTACCCATGCATGAATTTCGGGCCTTTAGTTATACTATAGCAGTGCAAATTTAACACAAATGGAGTTGGGAGAATTTTACAAGGCATAGCCTTTCTCCTCATTCTGAGTGAGTCATCAGCTTTTAAACCCAAGCTGCATATATCCTAACTAGCATAATGCTTCTGATCATATCTTTCACTATAAGAGGACATACTAGTTTTATTCACACTTGTCCATTTGTAAGTTCCTACCCATTAGCTTGGAATCCTTATGACTTGGCAGGTTTGAAATGTGTTACACTTGGAAAGAGAAGTTTATTTCTTTTAAACATCTGGAATTCTTACGAAGTGCTTCAGAATACTGTGGGCTCATGGAGAAATTTATGAGAAATTCTTTCCATATGTAACTGATCAGATGCATGGCCTGCTTATGATGCTTATGATGAACAAGCTTAGGAACCAAATATAAAACAGCGGATAGGACCTGATTCATTAAATCTAAAATAAAACTCACAACTTAGATATGCTTCTGTGTTTTCAGTTATTTTTATGAGTCCCCAGTTTTTACCATTCTAGACTTGTGAAGTTAAAAGCAATTTAGTTCTTTAGTTCTTCATTTGCCGGAACATCTATAAAATCGAAAACTTGAAAGGAATTCTGTGGCCTTACTCTCCTAATAATATTATTTTAGGCATTATTTTTTATTTTAGTTAACATACAATATTAAATTAGGTTCAGGTATATAACATATTGATTGGGCATTTATATACCTATGAGGTAATCAGTAGATAAGCCTAGTACCCATCTGACTTCATATATAATTATTATAATATTATTGACTACTAGAGGCCTGGTGTATGAATTCATGCATGGGTGGGGGCCACTGGGGGTGAGGGGATGCAGGAGGTAGGTCGGGAGG